CATTCTTAATCTTTTTACAATTTGAAAAATTTAATTAAAATCATGGGAAATCTAATGAGAAGTTAAATCTAAAACAGTTTTCAATTTTCAAATACTGAAATATTGTAAATTTAAGATTCTTGAAATAAGACGTCAATTTTTTTTCATTTAATTAAAAATCAAGTTACATTCTTGAAGTGAATCAAGTGAGACAAAGAGAACGGTTAAAACGGCGGCAATGGAACCTCTCCAAATTATTATAAAACAAAACTACAAATAACAAATTTCATTCTTAATCTGCTTACAATTTGAAAAATCTAATTAAAATCATGGGAAATCTAATGAAAAGTTAAATCTAAAACAGTTTTCAATATTCAAATACTGAAATATAGTAAATTTAAGATTCTTGAAATAAGAAGTCAATTTTTTTTCATTTAATTAAAAATCAAGTTACATTCTTGAAGTGAGACAAGTGAGACAAAGAGAACGGTTAAAACGGCGGCAATGGAACCTCTCCAAATTATTAAAAAACAATACAATTTTTACAATTTGAAAAATTTAATTAAAATCATGGGAAATCTAATGAGAAGTTAAATCTAAAATAGTTTTCAATATTCAAATACTGAAATATAGTAAATTTAAGATTCTTGAAATAAGAAGTCATTTTTTTTACATTTCATTAAAAATCAAGTTATATTCTTGAAGTGAAACGATGAAGGACGAATGAAGGGAGGAACAAAAAAAAATAAAAGCAAAATTTAAGAGTGAAACAGGTTTAGTAGTATGAAGTCGTATGTTATTAGTTGTGATCCGATATCAAAATGGATTAAGTGCGATGGGGTTTAACCCGAAACGGAGTGGGCGCTTGACATGTTTTTGCCCTCCGAGTCGACTCTTCAATGGGATGAATGAGTCACGTGAGCGACGGAACATGGCAACAAGAAACTCCCTACTAGCAACCGAACCAAGACCAACGACGACTACCGTACGAAGAGAAAGAGGAGGCTCAGAAGGCCGCAGTGGCGATGAGAATACAAAAGACAATTCAACGATGACTCGACTTAAAAAAAAAAGAGAAGAAAAATTGAAGAAAAAAATATATATATGTAAGATAAAGTGAAAGAAGGAATAGGAGAGATGCGCGTAAGAAATGGAGAGAACGAGAGAAGAGGATATTACAGATACACACATAAAAGCTTTCTTAAGGAGATTATTCCACGCCTATGTGACGGACAGGACAAAGGGCCACGTAAAATAGTCAGGTTTACAATAAGTTTTTTTTTCTTCTTCAGAAATAATTGCATTGAGAGACAGAAATTGTGTGTCCTTATAATTGAAGACTTGCAAAAAGAAATATACAGAATCGTTACAAAATAAATTGTAATGAAATTTTAATAATTTTCGATGTAAAATTATGTAATATTTATATAAAGTGAGCTGGGAGTTGTAATTGTATATATAAAAAAAAATTTATATATGTTTATATTTATTTCAGGATTCGTACGAAGAGAAAGTGGAGCGCCAACCACGATGTTTATTTATAATAAGAAGGAGAGGGAAAAAAAATGTGCGAGCATAAGCTGCGGTTGCGTTGCGTCAATATCGAATGAGCAGGAAAAAAAATGAGCTAAAAGAAAATCGCATACTTTTTAACTCTTTACCTCGGATAGTCTTTGAAACACCATGAAGAATCATATAATATTATATCATTGTTACAATTTGCTTAGTGATTTTGCTTAATAATTGACAAGCTGTCACCATGGGTCAAAAACAAAGCGTTGGTGATAAACCGTTAGCAATCTGGTAAAAAGTTTGATAAACGCTGCTCTATAGTTAGATGAGATAATCGCATAGTTTTTAAGTCTTTAGCTTTGAAACAGTGATTTTAGTTAATCATTAATAATTGACAATGTGGTGACAGCTGTCACCATGTGTCAAAAACAAAGTGTTGGTGATAAACCGTTAGCAATCTGGTAAAAATTTTGATAAACGCTGCTCTATAGTTAGATGAGATAATCGCATACTTTTTAAGTCTTTAGCTTTGAAACAGTGATTTTAGTTAATCATTAATAAATGACAATGTAGTGACAGCTGTCAGCATGTGTCAAAAGCAAGGAGTTGGTGGAAAACCACAATTGGGGTTGATATACGCTGCTCTATAGTTAGATGATAAAGTTACCAAATCCATCATGTCGTAGGGTTTTGTTGATAGTTTTCGGCACGTGCTTGAAGTGCAGCAGCGACGGTGAAGTGTAGAAGGAGGATAACGTCCGACTTGACTACTCCGGTGCAGAACGGTATATAATTAAAAAGTCAAGTGGGCAATCGCTAATTGCATCCTTCGCAGCCACGGACTACACACTTAACGATCATTAATACCGGGCAATTTCAATCGAGCAATTAACGATCCGCGCAGCTATGCCACGTTCCGATTAATTGCAAAAGCGCGCGCCACTCCGCAATCTGCATGCAATAATAACATAACGCTATATATTTCCGCAACAAAATCCTTCCCAAAAACGGAATTGAATATTTCCCCCTTTTCTTTCAGACGTAGGAAGAAAGAGATAAATTGAATTCGATCGGCACGCAACGAAATTTATGGTATGCGCTTGATACAAACTGTTATATAATAGAAAACAAAAACAAAGATCCTTACCTGGTGTATTCGATGCAAAGGCTGAAGCTATCGCGAGGATTGAAAATCGTCCTTTCCGTGTCCTCTCCGCGTTGCTCTGGATTGACGCGCGCCGCCAAATCGGGATGCTCAGCATAGAATGTTTGCCTCCGGTGCATCTCCTTCAGGAATAACTCCGGCACAAGCTTATAAACTATATCCTGCAGAGCTTTATCCAATCTAAAGAGAACAAAGAAAACAAGAGGATAGAAACATCTAGCTTGAAATGATCCTGTTTTGATGCACTTACTTCAGATTAGGTTTGGCCTTGTTTATGATCACCTCGCAGACGGGACAGTGGCTCTTGTCCTGCAGGAACTTTATGATGCAGCTCCGACAGACTGGGAAAAAGCAAGATAATCAACATCAGTAAATTGAAGTGCGGAGACGGCAGAAGAAATAGATATTTGACACCTGTTGTTGGCAGACGACTCCATTCTATTGCCGCTGCCGCCAGCCAATTTTCCACCCCCGCATCGTAAAATGAATGTCTTCCTGTTATTCTCGTTCGTAATTAATTTTACTTCTTTCGCTAAATCTTACGTTTAAATCGAAATCATGCATCGCCTGCTATTTCACCGGTGTAAATAAACTAAATCGACGGAGGCGGCGGAAGTTTACGTTAGTTCGGGAATCGAGAGAATTCGCGATGCGGCAAATAACTTTGTTTGCAAAACCCATGGGGGAGAGAGAGAGAGTTCGGTAACGAAATTTTCGGGAGCGGTTAAGTAATTAAACATAATTTTTCGAACTCAATTAAAGCGGACCGCTCGATGGCACAACATAAAGCAAACACGGAAATCCAAATAGACAACTTATTAATAAATATAAGTGTTTCAGCTTATTTTAATTTAAATAAATTAAACGATATTTGTGATTTAAAAAATATATATTTAAGTATTCAATTAAGGAAATTTATTTTCTATTTGAAATAATTTTTTCTAATGATTATAAAAATATTGAAAAACTGAAACTAAATATGAAAAGTTTATGTAATAAATTAATTTGTTGATGAAATAAATATAAGTGTTTCAGCTTATTTTAATTTAAATAAATTAAACGATATTTGTGACTTAAAAAAATATATATTTAAGTATTCAATAACTTATTAGGAAATTAATTTTCTATTTGATATAATTTTTTCTAATGATTATAAAAATATTGAAGAACTGAAAGTAAATATGAAAAGTTTACGTAATAAATTATTTTGTTGATGAATGGATGGATTCTGATGTACTTTCAATATAATGGAGATTCGCTGTATTCGCGTTAAGTGAAAAGTTTCTTCCGAACTTTGGGAAAAGAAGAAGTACGTTAACAAGCAGCGAAGATGTTCTTTAATCTACGAAATGCGCCAAAAGAAATAATAATAAGGATCACATCTTCATGATCCACCCTGTCCGAGTCATTAGCCTTCCTCTTTTTTATAGTACTCAAGTGTCTCTTTAATTGGGTAGAAATTACGGTTTAACGATGTTACGTTATCATCAGGATTGTATACCTGGATGATGGAAGAGATGGACGAGACAACAACAACAACAAGAGAGAGAGAAATAGTTAAAGACTTACATGAATGCAGGCATTCCGAGATGGTGGTGGCATCGATCAAGTAACCCTTGCATATCTGGCAGGTCAGGTACGAATTGATTTCGTTCAATTTGACCTTCTGGTGTTTGCCGCCGGTCTTCGGCGTTTCCTCCATGTCAGCCATCTGCAACGGAAAAAAGAAAGGATGAAATCGGTTCGTTCAAATAAAGCGCGCGAAAAAATGGGGTTGAAGCAACGGATGGAACAAGGACGTCGTCTTTGTTCAACAGGTATTGCATACTACTACAGCTCTTGGTCTCCTTGTTTTTTTTTCTTCTTCTTCTCTGAAGGAGGGAGGAAGTAAAGAAAACGACGAGGATCATTATCGTTAGATCCGAGCACTCGATGGCTTTGGCCTCGAACATTACTATTAACTTATCGCATTATCTTGCAGGAAGCACACGCGTTTCGGCGGATCGATCGCGGTTTATATATATATATACAGTAGTAATATATAGTATCTATCCCTTCCTTCGCTCCATCCCTTTCTGTTGCCCTGCGACCTATCATACCTCTCGCGTCTACTACACACTACATACACACACTTTACCGCACACCACGCGCTCATTTAGGGGTTGCGGCGTCTGGTTTTCGTCGGGTGATTCATCCCGACGGGCAATAATCCTAACGAAAACGACGTCTAATCGGGTTAAGGGCGGACCAGGCGCGAAAAAGGGATGGAAACATCTCCCCCTTTTTCTTTTTTGCAGACGTGCCCAAATCTGCCTTTTATTGAGAAGAAAATTTCATTATTCCGAGAAATCTGTATATATTGGATTTCCACAACCCTTCATTCAATATAATATTAATTCATTTATAATATTAATTAAGAGAAGAATTAGTTAACATATAATTATATAATTGAGAAGTGAAAAAAAAAAGAACTTTTTCGCAATCTATTAAACAGTGATAAACGTGAAGAAAGGTCAAAGAGATCAACAATGAATGAATCTGAACGAGGAGAAAGAGAGAGGAGAAAATTAAAAATTAATAAGCAGGCACCGATTGAGATTGATGGTTTAACGAAACGGGAGATTATTAATGATCGAGGAATATGGAAAAAAAATAAATAGAAATAATCGCGCGAAGAAAGCGAGACTCGAAATTCTTGTGGAATAAAAAACAAGACAGACTCAACAAATACGGTAGCTTCTTATTACGCGAAGAACAGAGAGATAGAAGAGGTGAGAGAACCGAGAAAGCGTTCGGACTGAAATATAAAGGAACGTTATCTAATTGTATGTGAGAATTCCGAGATGGCATAACTCACTGCCACTAAGTACTAAGTACTACTACTACTACACCCAACTGCGAGCTGTAATTATTAGTATTCCACGCTCCGCGACACCAACTTGTTTGTGTGTGTGTTTGTATATATAAGTACACATATATGTGAGTGTGTGTTTCAACCGCAAATTATAACTGTTCCAAAATCAATTTATCCCACGCAACGCCACGTGGATCAAATAAATTTCCAACTCATTTATGAGCAGATACACTCCACTATAAACAAGATTGGAACAACGTTAAGGTTGCAAAGTGTATCATCGATGTTCCAAGTTCAATTATTCATATAGAAACAATAATTTATCGAAAAAAAACAAGCGATGATCTAGAGGTGATTCTTCTGTTTTTTTTCCTCTGATTGGACGACGCACAAGGAGAGTCCTTTTGCGTTTGGACTAGATGCGTTTTCTTTATTTTTTTTTCAGCCTCAACAGTTGTATTGAGCTTTATTTGGAAGCGAGACTCCATCGATTTCTAGCTTGTTGCCGTTCATTTACTTTGTTTCTTGTTGTAGTAGTTGTAAGTCTTTCTCGACTCTTTGATTTCGCATAAGGAACATCTCCTAAACACCATCTCTTTTTTTTTATATATACAATCGCTAAGAAAAGCTGTGCAAGTAAATGTCTTTCTTGTAGATTGGAATCGATTAAGCTTTGAAAACAATTTAATTAAGAATTTTCTAAATTTTCACTTTGAATTGTTTCTACAAATTGATTCTCAATGTCTTTTCAGTATAGTAAATTTTATTTAAAGTTTATTGACTTTCTATATTTTGTAACAAAACTTCTTGAATATTTATGAATTTTTACAATTTAGTTAATTTTTTAGATTATATTTCCGTCAACAACACAGCTAATTTAATATGCAAGTATTTGTATATTTCGAAGAAATATAAATTTTCTGTTTTGCATTAAATTAATGAATAAATGTGATAAATTTTTTAATGAAATGTAAATTGTTTGCGCAAATTATCGTACGGGCGCAGGGCGGGAAGATTGGATGATATTCGTTGTAGTTTGTAGTAGTAGTAGTAGGTATAAGGCAGGTAGTTACCGGTGTGTGCATGCATATGCATGTGTAATTTAGTAAGTTGTAGTAGCAACTTCGAGCATACATTTACGGCCCCCATACGCTCTATAATCAAGCATCTATGCAGCAAAAACGAGGTTAATATTATCATGAGAATAACTCGCTTTATGTCGATGTTTAAGGCGATGTTGTATAAAAAAGAATAGAAAAAAAAAACGAAAAGAAAAAGCGGTAAGCTTTAAAATTACTTAATTATAGTTGTAAATGAATGGAGAATTGAAGATTATTGCAAAATTAATGATGATTAATACAATATCATTAAAAAGTTTAGTAATTAATTAATTACTATAGTTTGTTTTTAAGCCAACTTGACGATTTTATAAAAATGATAATGAAAAAGTAATAAATCATTGAATTCTAAAAAAAATGTGCAGAGAATAATTTGTTTTGATTAAATTTATATAAAAATAAATAAAATGAGATTTGATTGTCATTAATTAAAAAAAAAATCTTTTTAAAAGTGTTAAATCGGAATATTTAAATTTGTTTAAATTGAGGAAAGAAAATATTTAAAAATTTGACAATTAAGTTGTATTTTTCTTAAGTCAACTTGACGATTCTAAAGAATGATTTCTGGAAAGTGGCAATTCTATAAAATGTTTGGATAAAAGTATAAAGTTCTTCTAGAAATGTAGT